AAGGCCAATGGGATACTGGCGTGTATTGTTCTCTTTACTATGTCAGAGAGAGAGAGAGAGATAATTCTTGCCTTTCTTGTAGTGAGGTGCACACAACAAAATATTAATATTGTTCATGTGGAAATTGCTTCTTGTACTTGATAATAAAAAAGGCACAAAAGCATTTGTCTTTTGAGCTAACTTTGTCAGATCTTCTTATCTGATTAGCTCAGCAAGGGCTGTGTATTCCATTAGGACGTTTTTGGTTAGTGACCAGACATCAGTTCAGCACATCGCCTCAGCTGAACTCATGGTCTGATCTAATCATTAGAGTAGAGACACTGAGAAAAGGGTAGGATTCACCTTGCTTAGCTTTAGGAGTCTACAGTGTAGGTATTGGCATAGCTTACATTCTGGATCCTGTCAAAGTCAGTGGAGGTCCAGTTACTCTCCAGAGTGACCAGAACAACTCTCCAGTTGCTCTCCCCGAAGGCATAGAATTCAGGAACAGGTGACTGATGCTGAGACTCCTCTGGTTAGTTTGACTAGGTCTCCCTCGACTCTGAGAGGACCTAGGTGGCTTTCAGTCAAAGGACCCAACTCTGTATGCTCCAGCTTGTGGTTGTTACCAGCCTCGATTGATGCCGACTGCCTGTTTGACCTTTGGCAAATTGCACACCTTTGTGTGCTTCGGGTCCTCCCCACATAGACTGTGTGCAATGATACTTTCCCAGCTCTGGGAAACAGTTTGAGCCCCAGATGAAAAGTCATGTTACTAAGACATAGTCTTTTTGAAGGGATGCTGTTTTTTTTTGTTTAGAAAGGCCATTTGTTAAAGCACAGCTGCAATTTAGGGAGATGCCAAGATGCATCGCTTTTCACTGCCATTTTCTGACACTGTAACAGAGAATTACAAATATTATTAGTAATGTATGGGCTGCAGTTTAACAGCTTAGTACATTTGATTGCATATTATGGTGGATTCATTTAAACTCAGAGCTTATTCCAGGGCAGATAGAAGCACTGAGTTTTTTATAGCTTATTTCACACTCTGTGCTCTGCCAGCCACTTCAGATCTGTGGCTCTTTTGTAATTGATTATCCAACACTGGATAAAATCTAATGTCCATGAAGAGATTTGAAGAGCTCTCATTTGTAAGTATCATGACATAGGCAGATGTGTTTCTACCATGTGTTTCTACCATGATAGGGCTTATTCTTCTCTGGGCTGATACGTAAGACTTCCTTTACTCTCTTCAGAGTGACTGTGGATGTTCACGGAGAAGAGATGATGAATTATGAATTGTTCTAATTTAATATAATAACTCACTCCTCTGCTGCTATACAGTTTGCATGGTGAGAAGGGAAGAAATCTTCCCCACTTTAAGAATACAGGGGAAAATGGTAAATTTGACAGCTTTTAGAAAAGTAGTCAGAAGATGCACATAAGCAAATCTTGATTTACTGCCAAGACACACTTCTTAACCTCCCAGTAAAATATGCAACAACACCAGCTGCTTTGTGCTGGACTGGGAAAGTGAAGGGGAATTGAAGTCTTTGGTTATTTCTGTCACCGGAGTGGTGCAACGCAGATGGATCATACTAAGGAATCTGGTCCTGACAGTCACTGTTCTGTTATTAGCCTGATTGTACTTGGCATCTTTCAGCAGATCTTAGATTTGACTTGTGTGTTTCCCCCTCAGGTGAGGAGATTCTCAGAAGCCTTCTTCTACACTGAGCACCAGAAACTCGCTGTGCTCACGTTCCAGGAAGGCCTGTAAGTGAACCATTATTCCTCTTTTGTCACTGGAACAGCTGAAAATGTAGTTTAAAATATTTTGAAATCAAGACTGTGGTCTTTTTCTGCTGAATATGGAGGAGTTTTGTTTGAAAGAAGTCACTGTATCTGTTCTAGCTACATATCATAAACTCATTGAAACAAGTGCAAAAGGTAAGTGACTCCGATCAGGCGCTAGAGATTATTAATGTCAACATTCCTATATTCTAGGGATACGATGCAGGAGATCCTCTTTGCCTACATCTCTTCTCAGTTGTAGTTGAGTGCATATCTCCACCGACACTACCAGCCTCAGGGCAAGCAGAAATATCTTTCGAATATCTTTCTTCAATTAACTTCCTAAACCCACTATACCAAATCCAGTACTGGCATTTCTAATGGGAAATAGCTGCTGACAAGCAACAAAACCTTAACATTTGAAAATATTCTTTTTATCATCCCTAATATACATTTGTGGGAGTAGGCAGTCATGGATCTCTTTTAGTGTTTATTTCAGCCCTACTTTCTGTAGCAGAAAGGATCTTTAAATGCAGACATGAGCATTAAACAGCCTATGCAAAGCTGTGGATGTTCACTAGATGCACAAGTGGAGGACGGGAATGGGGGGTATCACCACATAAGCTGGAGGAACCATGGGAGTGATGTGAGCTCACGGCTCATAATCAATTGACCAAGAATCAACAGTGCAAAACAGTCTGGGAAAACAAATGTTGCACTGGGCTGCATTCATAAAAATATACTATAAAACATGGGCAAGGTAAGTATTTCCTTCTATTTGACACTTCTTGCTTGGAGCCAAGCTGGGCAGTACGAGGAGCCAGTTTTAAAGCTACATCAGGGCAAATACTGCCTTCAGTTTTAGCCAATGATCCCAAGTGGAGCACATGGATAATATTCAGGACCTGACCCCTGAAGGCAAAGTTCAAAGATGCTCAGATTTGAATTTCTGACTGACGAGGAATGTCCGGACTATTTATCCACTGAAACAGCCTGTCACCACAGGGGACCACAGCGTTGCCAGTGTGGAGACACATCTTTCAGAAGGGGCTTAAAGGACATGACATCAGGTCCTGTCATGATGAAGAGGCTTAAGTGAGACATCTGCTTCTGACCTAGTGCAAAGAAGAAAATTACTTTCTCAGAGCTGTCACTAGGGTCATTAGGGATGATTCAGTGTTGGTGGAAGGGGCCGTGACTTAATTAGCAGATGGGTTGTACAAGGCTACCTTGTTCTGCCAAATTAGAGCAGCACCATGGCTGCAGGGGCCCAGCTGTGCTCACTTAGTCCTCCCATGTCAGGTTTTAAGTGAGTTATGTACAAGAAAAACCCCATGTCAGGATCCTGGGGTGAGGGCACAGGCAGTCATGACCCCATTCAAGCAAACATAACCCTGCACAGGGGGAAGCCTAATTGCATGAAGGGTGTTTATTTCTCTAGCCAACCACAGAAATAGCCCATTTCCTACAGATAAATGTAGTTTTTCCTCAGTAATTATCAAAGAGACTGAGTTAGAAAAAGTAAAATAGTCTACAAACTTTAAAAGTTAGTCTATATAGTAAATTTGGACTACACAGGCCTCATGGTCAAGTCATGTTTTCTTTTTTATTTTGCTAGATGATGTAGTTGGAAAAATAATCTTGGCTGCCAGAATATTATTAATGTTGGGGTTGGCAACAGAGAGTATTAATTAGGTTTGCAGAGGCTCCAGGTGAGATCAACTCTCAGTGTGCCAGGTGCTGTACAACCACCTCAAACAGTAACACTTATTTCCCCCAGTTGTCTATTCTTTCCTACCAGACAAGAGCTTTTTTTGCCTCCTGTACTATTATTGTGAATTCTGTGTGAGGGCATGCACCTACATGTGTGACAGCGTTTGACTGTTAAGACAGAAGAGGACACACCATTCTCAATAGGTTTGGTATCACATAGGGTGGGAAGCTCTAGTGGGTGACATATCTTCCTAGTATTTTACAGAAAAAAATATTTTTGCTCACACCTTTCAGTATCAATGATTCATCTTTTGTGCCAGAGATTGGTCTTGAAGCAAGTTTGGTGTATTTTTTTTACCTGTGGTCTTTAGTAAAACTCTGATGCTATTAATTAATACATCAGTGAGAACTTTATTACAGTGCTGAGATTTTACTCTAAACACCCATGTGTTGCTGCAGGCAAGAATGAGCAGTTAGCTGTTTGTGGTTCCTGTCTGAGTCATGTTTTAGCAATCAATGACTTGTTTATCTTTGAGGAAAAAATAACTGGCCTACACATAAAAGCAAATGATAGACAGCGACAATTATGTTCTGAAGATGAAGCTGATACACTGGCTGGGACAAGATATTTGTGTCTGAATACAGGACTTCCATGATGGTATGAGGATAGACCAATTCAATTACAAATCTTTTGTTTGAGTTCTGCTTCATGATGTATGAAATGTGTTTCTTCTAGTCAACTGCCACATGGTGATTACCTGCCTTCTGTCAATGATAATCTGAAATTTTTTCATTGTGCTGTCTTAGGGGATCTTATAGCAGCCTTCCAGTACTTAAAGGGGGTCTACAGGAAACCTGGAGAGGGACTTTTTACAAGGGCATGTAGTGATAGGACAAGGGGCAATGGATTTAAACTGAAAGAGGGTAGATTTAGATTAGATATAAGGAAGAAGTTTTTCACTCAGAGGGTGGTGAGGCAGTGGAACAGGTTGCCCAGAGAAGCTTTGGATCCCCCATCCCTGGAAGTGTTCAAGGCCAGGTTGGATGAGGCTTTGAGCAAGCTGGTGTAGTGGAGGGTTTCCCTGCCCATGGCAGAGGGGTTGGAACTAGATGATCTTTGAGATCCTTCCAACTCTAACCATTCTATGATTCTATGATTCTATGATCTGTGCAGGATTGCTTTCGGCTGACCATCTATGAAGTTTTTTGACTTTCTCTTTATTCCTTAGGATAAACAGGCTAATTCATTTAAGACTCAACAAAACTAAGCAAACTTCGTATTTGATGTTTTCTTCATTTTTTTGAGGAAGATGCTTACTTAGGAAAGCTCATCAGAAGTAAAAATTATTGTATTTGTTTAGCCAAACATCTGTGTGCCAGTTTAATGTCACATTCCCTAATGAATGCCGGGTAGCATTTTACATGGCCCAAAAGATGGACACAGGCAGTTATTCTAGCTTTGCCAAAAGGTGGTAGATGAATTGACATGTCTTAGCTCTTCTAGATGCCTAAGTACATGAGATATCAGTGTTCTGAGGACTGGCATAAGTGAGATAGAAGGCCTACCATGAGCCCTTCTTGGCCTCGTTCCTCCCTGTACTGCTCAACCAAATTTTTGATTGTTGCTTCCTGAATCTGGGTTTTGAAACCCTTACCACAGCAAGAGCAACAGACCTCTTTTGCTGACCGGAAAGCCAACTGAGAGATCCAGTCTCAGCCAGCTGCAGTGACCCATGGGAGGACGTCAAGGAGCTACAGTAGCTAACAGAAGCCTGTGGCAGGAGCAGCTGGAACAATTTCCAAAAAGGACAAAAGTTTTGCAGTGAGGGAGTGTGCAAGTTTTAGGTGTCTCTAACTGAGAGCTAGAAATCAACTCATGGGAAACCTCCTAGGAGCCGTGGGTACCCTCTCATCATGCAGTGCTGCCTTCTCTCCTTTTACACACATTGCCTCTGTCCTCTGCCTACACATCCAGCTTTACTGCTGAGTTTGCAGGAGTGGTGGAGAAACAGCACAGTAACTACTCAGACACTCAATTTCTTTGTACTTTGCTGCCAGGATCCAAAGTCACGGACAGATTTCTACAGAAATTCGTAATTCGGAGTACTTCACCAGCATGCCCCCGCTGCCAGCAGAATGCCTCGACATAGATGGGGACTGGAACACGCTCCCAGTTATCTTTGAAGATAGGTACATGGATATGCCTTGCAAAGGTGAGTGAAACACCACAGGGTATAACTTCATGAGACAGCTTGAGCTGAGGGAGTTTCACTTCCCCTGCCCAAGTTAAGTGATCTCACGTCCCTTGGGAACTATGAATTCCATCTCCAGTGTGACATCTAGTGGTAAGAAACTGCAGGACACGAAAACACAACTTGGAAAGCCCAGCATTGCCTCTGAAAGGCAGCATTGCTTTCCAGAAAAATATTTTCCCCTTGAGTACCCAAATCAAAATTTTAATTAAGAAATCATTCAGTTCTGCAGATTTGTACTAAAACCTCATAGCCCTTGGTTCCTTTTTGTTTTTACCCAACTATTAAGATTAGCAAAGCAGCAATATGTATTAGTATTATAGGTGACCATGGTCTAGTAAATATGAGCTGTGGGCCAAAATTTCCACTCTTCTGGAGTTATCCAACTGCCTAAATTTTGCAAATGCTCATTACAGATATTTGAATTGTTAAACTGAGTATTAAACTGACTTACAAGCAAGAGCTATACGGTGAGCAGTGTGCTATGACTGAATAAGCTCAATATGAGCCGCCGAGAAGCTCAATATGAGCCGGCAATGTGCTCTTGCGGCCCAGAAGGCCAACCGCGTCCTGGGCTGCATCAAGAGGAGCGTGGCCAGCAGGTCAAGAGAGGTGATTCTCCCCCTCTACTCTGCCCTCGTGAGACCTCACCTGGAGTACTGCGTCCAGTTCTGGAGCCCCCAACATAAGAAGGACATGGACCAGTTGGAGAAGGTCCAGAGGAGGGCCACGAAGATGATAAGAGGGCTGGAGCAGCTTTCTTATGAGGACAGGCTGAAAGAGTTGGGGCTGTTCAGCCTGGAGAAGAGGAGACTCCGGGGTGACCTTATAGCGGTCTTCCAGTACCTCAAGGGGGCCTACAAGAAAGATGGGGAGAGGCTGTTCAGGAGGGCCTGTTGTGATAGGACAAGGGGTAATGGTTTTAAAATAGAGGGAGGTAGATTCAGATTGGATATTAGGAAAAAATTTTTTACCATGAGAGTTGTAGAACACTGGAACAGGTTGCCCAGGGAGGTGGTGGATGCTCCATCCCTGGAGACGTTCAAGGCCAGGTTGGACGAGGCCCTGAGCAACCTGATCTAGTTGGAGATATCCCTGTTCCTTGCAGGGGGGTTGGACTAGATGACCTTTGAAGGTCCCTTCCAGCCCTAACCATTCTATGATTCTATGATTCTATGATTCTATGACATCAGGAAGAAGTGTCAGCTCTGTTTCATTTTCCTATGCTGTAGACACTAGCAGTTTAGATACAATTATACTGAGGAAAGTATGTTTTGTTGATATTGTCTTCTTTGGCCCAATTATATTTAATGACTATAATTCTAGTTAAATGCACTCCGGCATTTGCATTTGTAATATGCCTCTAATCTATGTATAATTTTTATAATATAAATATACGTACTTTTTTAGGCCTTACAATCACTTTTCAAAGTCCCACATTACCTTGGTGTAATTTGTTGTGTTCTTGCAGGTAGCACTTCTTTTTTTCTTTCTTTCAGATCAGAATTTGGAAGTTTACACAGATTTTGAGGTTCCTGCAAATACCCAAATGGATGTAATAGATGACAGTGACGATTTTACATCAAACGATGCCACTGCAGTCATGAAAGGAGACTTTGGGAAAGGTACTCTGATAATACACACAGATAGGATAAACGGGAATCCCTCCTGCGTATACAGTGGTACTGAAGGTGCTGCTTACACAGCTAAGGATTTAAACCAGCACTCCACATCTCAGGTATGTACAGTGAACAAAGAAGGCCAAAGGAAACCTGAAAATATTTTTGTTTCAAGTAAAGAAACTACTTCTGACTCAGAGATAGGCAATACAGAAAGCACATCAGAAGACTTTAAAACATCCAAGGAAGTTTTATTAAAAGACAATAAACTTGCAGCAGATGTTACCTGTGAAGATATGACACCTAGCAATAAGGATTCCCACAAAAGTGAGCCTGTGTTAATTGTCAGTGCTCAGTATGAGTGTGGAGCACATGGAACTGATGGCTTAGAAGACAGGACTAAAATACATAAACCAGCTGAATCTGATCATCCTGAGAATAATTTCACTTCATCTGAGCTTGCACTGAATGAATTAACCAGTCTTGCAAAAACAGGCGATCCCAACACCAAGACTCAGCTCCCTGTTTCAAAAGCTTTGCCCACCCACAGCTTTGAAGTGAAATTGTTTACAAAGGAGCAACGAGGTGAGGAGTGTGAAGAATTTACTCTGATGTCAGGGGTTATAAAAAGATCCTCCTCTATAATATCTGATTCAGGCATTGAAAGTGAACCAAGTTCAGTGGCATGGTCTGATGCTCGAAGCCGGGCATTGGAGCTGCCCAGTGATCGAGACATCCTACACCACTTGGTACGAAGACACGCCATCCACCGAAATTCCCTGGAGGGTGGTCACACAGAAAGCAATACTAGCTTGCCCAGTGGGATCCAAGCATCACTCACATCCATTAGCTCTCTGCCCTTTGAGGAAGAGGAGAGGGAAATGGAGCTCACCAAGCTGACCAAATCTGTCTCAGCTCCTCAAATCAGTAGCCCAGAAGAGCCTGCAGAGGAGGTGGATATATCCAAACACAGTGAAGCAACCTCAGGAGATTCAGGAGGAAACTTAATAAGTTGTGCGGAAACAGAGGGTGGAGATAGGCAACGAGTCCTGGACTTTTCTGGGTGTCCAGTCGCCACTGAAAGTGGACAACTAGAACCAAGACGACATCCTAAATCCTCTGTCAAACACAGTAGCAGTAACATTCAGTTACACGGGGAGGAGGAGAAGGAAGGTTTTCCAGAGACTTACTGTCATTTGGAAAGTGCAAGCCCACCCATTTGTCCAAAGCAGCTCAGAGATAACATCTCTGAATGCCAGTCACTGGAGAGCAATGATGAGTGCAGCTTAAAAATGCCAAGAGCTTGTAATTACCTGGACAAAAATATAGATAAATCTGATACATGCATCGAGGATCCAAAGCCGGATGGTTTAAAAAGACAAGACTTCTACTCCAATAGCAGAACTTCAGGAGAGGAGAGTTTCCCACAAAGCATAAAACTGGTACCAGATTTTTGCTATCCTGTTCCAGCTCCTTCAGAAACCTCAACTGAATTTGGCTCAATGCAAGGAGAGTGTGGTAGCTCGCTTGCTGATGAGAGCCCAGCAGTGTATGCAGAAACGCAGGGGTTACAAGAAATTGAGCTCAATGACTCACCTGCCTCTGCAGACCCCGCTGCAGGATCCTACCAGGCTGAATATCCACAGCAATCCGAGAGCCAAGAACATAAACTTGTAGCTAATGGCACTGGGTTTCATGCAGCGATGACGACGGAGGGAGTAGCACTGGAGAGCAGAAAGGCTGTTGATGTGGTTAACCTGTCCGTCTCTTGCACAGCCACGTGTCTTCCCTTTTCTTCTGTGCTCAAAGAGACCCCTGCTACTGTCGGCTTCTCTGCAAAGCAGGCTGCATTTCCCATCACACGCCAGCCTCTGGGCTCTTTCGGAGTTGTCCCTTCCAATTCAAATGAGGAGGATGAAGAGACCAATGAAAGGATGCTGAAGTAAGACTGTCTAATTACTTTCTTCATTAATGTTACTTTGTTGGGAGACCCTGACAAAGTTGAGGGCCCTATTACAGTGAGCACAGGGTAAGCTTGCGCTCAGAGACATCCGAAACGAATAAATAGGCAAATGCTTTCTATAGAATACATGATCTAAATAGACAGGTAAGATGAAAACACAGAGATCAAGATCGTCAAATTCATTAGGTCCTTAATACTCATGACAATCATTAAGATTTAGGTGTCTAAACAGTCATTAAGATCTGGCCTTCCTTCATGAAGTCATGGTTATCCAGACTTGGATATTGTTTCCAGATAGTTGGTTGACTATGGAAGTGCCATAGCTCGTTTTTCTCTTCTGCTTAAATAATTGCACTCATTAGCTAAACAATGAAACAGGAGCGCAGATTGGCTTGTAGGGTCTCAGCTTCAGCTTCTCAAATGGGAAAAATGGGAGAATTGGCATCCTAGGTAGCTGGAGAAGAGACATTATTTTTTCTCTTGCTTCATTGCCCATGGCAAAAGTGCCACATCATGGCTTTCATTTCACAGTGGCCCATTTCACAGACTGACATGCTAGCATGTGTTTACTTTTGTTGTATTTTTTTGTCTCTGCCATACTGAGAGAAAACAGCAGATTAGGAATTTCTCAGCCCATTCAGCTGCCCAAAATGTTGGCTCTCTGCATATACATTCATTTGCTACGCAAGGCTTTATTTTTGTTTTTTTTGAAAGCATCTTGAGGTTTGTTTTATAGACCCTGCTGTAAATCCTGCTTAATCTAAGCACAAAATGTGTTCCTTCTTTGTGAAGCAATATATTTAAGCCCGTATTCATGCATATGAATCCAGGGCCTTCAGGGCCATGGTCCGAATGATAGATTTTTCATTCTTATGTCCCTTTAAAGTCAGTAGGGCTGATGTAATTGTTCACCATTATATCTAGTGATTTTAAGCTATCCCCAAGTTTTAAAGGTTTATATCTCCTAACCTGGTCCATCCCAGTCTTCTACCTAATTCTACACTTATGTTATGATTATTAGTTCCCAAAATCTCTGGATAAGTTTTGCTAAGTCAAAAAGCCACTGAAGAGTTTGGCACCTTCAGCCCGCAGAATGCTGCAGGGTGAATTTGTGTGTCAAATTTTAGACCTAGAGTAGGAAAGGAATTAGCTTAATTTAGCATTGAGCTGCTCTTCCTCTTAGTTACTAAATATTTTAAAAAGAACTCAAAACCAAATGAAAAATATCTCCTTATGAGATGCATCCTTTAACTCCACAGTCTGAGGAATGGGGAGAACACCTTCTAACTACCTATAAATGCATCTAGTGCTAGCAAAATGATATATTTTGTGTTTCTGTATCTATAAGGCTGATGACGTTGTTAAGATACAAAATTGCTCATTCTCTATCTTAGTCTCATTGTTACGGGCCACCAGAATATTATTTTTCATAAATCCTTCTTTCCTCTAGCAGATTTGAGTTGCTAATGGGCTTTAGCTATTCCCTGCATGTAGCCAAACCACTCAGAAACAATTTTGCTTCCCCACATCCTGGTTTCTCTCGATCAGAATAGATAAGGAACAGTATCCAAGTCTCTAATAAAATTTGCAAACATAACTTCTTGCAAATACCAGCCTCCTCATTTCTAGTTTGAAAGTTTGCCGTTGAACACTCGGTTCTATTGTGATTAATTAATGTATTCTCCAGTTTTTATCAGGCCAAAGAAAAATTTAAAAAAGAAATGAAGATTGAAGGATTTCTGTACAGTGACTTATCTGTACTAGCTTCTGATATCCCGTATTTTCCACCAGAGGAAGAGGAAGAAAATTTAGAAGACGGCATTCACCTGGTGGTCTGTGTCCATGGATTAGATGGTAAGGCCAGGAGGAATTGCTATTTGCAAGTCATTTTGATATAAACAAAAAAAAAAAAGGCCAGATGTTCAGCAAGTTTGAAAGAAAGGAGCCTAAAGGAAGTATTTATCTTCGCTAAGTGTTTAGTCCTTATTATGTTATTCAGTCCATTGTAATAAAATTCAAGGAGAATATTAAATATTTGCTCTAAAAAAGGGTGCTGCAACTTTTTGCTATTGTTTTTTTAAACAGAATTCTACACCAAAGTACATCAGTCCTATGAGTGCATTACAGTAACTCTTGTCTTTCCACAGATGCTTGGTTGTTTTGCAGTATGTCATCAGGACAAAAATATTATTTAAAACCCCTCCACGTTGTTATAGGGTAGACAGTAGCCAGCTTTAGAAAGTGGAAGAATGAAAATAATTATTCAGGAAGTATGGCCTGGAATTTTTTAGGGATATGCTTTCCAAGCAGAAAACACGTTAAACTTAAAACTTCTCTTGACGAATTATTGGTGTCAATGGGAAAGGTGTAGATGTTAAACTTGCACCTACAGAAAAGGTGGGATAGAGACTCTGAAATCTCAGGCATTTGAAATCTCAGGCATTCTCAGAAAGCTGGAAAACAAGCTCTTGCTGGCTTGAGCAAGGACTGTTTGTCATTCAATATCTTAGTGGAAGTAATGTGCTTCTCATGAGATGGAGTATACCTCCTTTTCCAGCAACACATTTCAGAAGACCTTGGAACTTCCTGCTATGGAATAGGGCATGTCCCAAAATATTAGGAGCTTGACAGTATTTCAGTGCTGACTCTGTGGATCCACAGATGCAAGCTACTCTGCATCTGAAGGCACAGCCCTATACCCCAGTGCATGTGCCGAGGTCCCTGGCAGGGCTGCAGTGTCTCCTGTGGATATCACCAGCTGTGAAGGTGAAAGGACAGATTTCAGCTTTTCAGTCTTTTTGTCTTACCTCTGCTGTTCAGCAAATAGGGGACAGAGTTATTGTGGGCCTGATCTTTGCCCTTCCTTCCCACCATTTACACAGTTCCCAGCAGCAGGAGGTGAGGTCCAGCCCCACTCTGTGCAGGCTGTAGGTATTCTTGCTCTGCTGCTGTTTCAAGGCACGATCCTATGGCATGGTGAGCTGTCTTAGCAATACTTAGCAAGAGCTCCCTGGCGTCAAGGTTTATAGGAAGACAAATGTATAATATTGACTTTATATGAGTTAATTTTCTGTTGAAGTACATCTTATATAGTACCATTTATTTCTAGGTAACAGTGCAGATCTGCGACTGGTAAAGACTTTTATAGAACTGGGACTCCCTGGTGGAAAACTGGACTTCCTAATGTCTGAAAGGAATCAGGTAATACAGACCTAATTTCTGTCTTCCTTTAGAGCTGCTACAAGCTGTTGACATTGCCAAAACCAGGACTTCAGCAAAGCCTTTTCACTAGCTGAATGAAACAAAAGCACTGGGGAATTCAGGGATTTCTATGTAGAATTTAGTGCAAAGGCCTGGTCCTGTTCCTGTCTAGTTTGATAGGATATTCAAACTCACCAGAAAATATTTCTAGCATTAAAGTCAAAGGCAATGACATTAGCACTTATAGGACCAGACCTTAAAAGAAGAAAATTGATTTATTTTGTCAGTTTGCAAACTCAGCAGCCTGGTGCCTCTGCCTGTTGGATGCCAGTCAACACAGCACCGACACAGAGCATCAAGTTTAGTGATGCTAAATTCTCTGGAGGATATGGAATATCCAGCAGGTGTTGTCAGCTTCCTTTGCTGCATCAGCCATTGTTTCTCCTGTTGCAATGTTTGTGAGATTTATTCCTTGAATGATAAAAAAAACATCTTCCAGAAAAATTCATTGCTAGACTAGGCAGGGAAACAGAAATTAAAATTTATGACACAGAGGCCTAACTTTATTCGCAAGATAAGGATTTCCAGGACCCAGTCAGAAACGTTATTCTGATTTACGAGCAGCTGAGAAGCTTGAGTCAAAACTTTCCAGCCTTCTTTGTTCAACAGCTTTTATGTTTTGAAGTGGCCAATTGGTGTTAGTCTGTGAACTTGCCACCTTCCAGCGCACATCTCTGTCAGCAGCAGACTGGCACTGTGAACCCAAGTAAGATGAAAATAATGAGGATACCACTTCAGACTTGCATCAAAGCTCCTATCATGCTTTCAGAAGATGAAACATGGTACAAAATCTCTATTTAACATTATCCAGAGCCCATAATGGGAACTTTTAGTGCTGTTATTCTCTGGGAAGGTGAGAAAGTTCCCGTGGCACTGGAAATAGGACCCTCTTTGGATGCTGTAAAGCATCCTGTCCCTCTTTTTTCCCTGCTCTGAGAACCACACTGAAAATGACCCAAGAACTCAGTCATTTAGCTGAAGTTTTTCTTATAGAGGAAAATGCAAATAACTTTTTTTAGGCATTCATTTGCAATACATTTGACAAGCTCAATCAGGCTGAGATTATACTACAGAATGGAGATATAACCAAGTGAAATATAACACTTGATGTGATTTTTTTTTATGATTAATGTTCAGGCTGATATTCTTCCACTTTTAAACAACCTGAAAGTTGGGATAATGAACCTATGAGGGAATCATTAATTATCAATGCAGATAAAGTAAACAGGCAGGAGGTTAGTGGACTGTTTGTGGTTTATGAGAACATTTATTTTAAGGCTGTATTGCAAAGTGAATATGCTCATGTTTTCCTTTGCAAAAGCTGAAATTAGCAAGATGAGTTGTGTCACAAAAGCATTAATTACTGATATGTTGGCTCTGAATAGCTGTTCCAACATTTGATGATTATGTTTGTGGCATCTCATTAGTTACAAATTTGATTTAGAGTCCTGTTGGGTTGCCAAATGACACAGTTCTGAATAAGATCTGCCTGCAATTGTATAGACTGGACAATATATTATTTGCTTTATTGTATCACAACTGGCAGTACTGTTGCAAGCAACAAATTGTTTGTCGCTCTCTAGCACTCATTCTCTTACTGATAACTCTTGAATAACAAACACACAGCGTTTTATTGAGATGGCCAAATAATTTTTTTATTACATACTTAGCATCAGCATAACCCACGTGTGAGAGTATAATGCTGTAAACTATTTTATCATAGTAATCTGCTAAATCCTAAATGCAAAAAGCTTTTCTTTCACGTGCAAAGTATGGTGTCTAGAGTGGCTGAGCATTAGCAATTCTCACCAGTGTCGAGACAGACTGCTTTAAGATTATACTTATGACTCTGTAATTACTCAGCATAATATTGTTAATCTTACTATTAATAAATTGTAGGTCCAAGTTTATCCCATCATGACACGTGCCAAAGTTAGAGGCACAATCGGTAGAGAAAGAGAAGCAATCACAGGAGGTAATTTAATCCCTTTGAAATACAAATTGTCTTCTAGAGGGCTCTACTTCCCTACTCTACAAAGTGTAGGGTTACTGTAGTCCTAACTTGAATTCTCAGGTCATGTTGTTGAAGCTAAAAGGTGTGATATAGAGTCAAAGAGACTCCTCTATGACAGAAAATTTTGCCTTAACTTACCTACAAGCTCACTGAAGACAGTGAATTTCCACATAGGCTTTAATGATAGGTATGTGACCCACACTGACTCATGGTATTGTTGCTGCTGTTGATGCTATGTGAGAAAAAAACACTCGTCTTGAGTAAGTTTGCAGTATTAGTTGGAAGCTATTTGCTAATAAACTGAAAATGAAACTTTGTGACTCTGTTTTCAAAGGAATTTACTTTGAAAATAACATCAGTCTGCAATGAATGCCATATATTTTATTTCATTGACTCGTTCTGTTTTTCACCAGACTGATACTTTTGCTGATTTTGATACAATGACTGATCGATTATTGGATGAAATCATTCAGCATATCCAGTTGTACAACCTCTCCATATCCCGAATAAGGTAAGCATTCTAATAACTAATAGTCTGTAACTGTTTGAGTTACATGAGCAACATTCAGTGAAATCAGCTTTTCCAAAAGTGCCCTGTGTCAGAAGCCGTTGAATGAGTGAGATGAATTTTTACATTTTTATCAATGGAAGATTATCTACCAGACTGAAAAAAATGTGAAATGATAACTGAAAGCCTTGATAGAGTCCCTTCAAGAGAAATTTATGCCATCATTGTGTTTAATTTAAATCAAATACAGAAGGTTTTTGTGTTACTGTAATTCTTTCTTTCCCAACAGCTTTATTGGACATTCCCTTGGTAACGTCATCATTCGATCTGTACTAACTCGCCCCAGGTTTCGCTATTACCTCAACAAGTTACACACCTTCCTGTCCCTCTCTGGGCCTCACCTGGGAACTCTTTACAACAACAGTACTTTGGTTAGTACAGGTAAGAGTTAGTGGGAAAGCTATGATTGGCTGCAGTCCATGGCAGAGCACATCAGAGACCAGCACAGGGAGGTAGCAATAAATCATAACATGGCTTGTCGACTGAAGTTGCGGAAAATATTTGCTGAAGATTTCAAACCCACACAGAAAAAATTGCAATGAGAGGGGCTTTCAGCATCAAGGTCCAGCACAGTGCTCCCTGGAAAATCCAAGGGTGGTGCAGCAGTGAGAGGTGACCTTGCTTCCACTGTATTCTTCCACTTCTCTGTATACTACCAATAAAGAGACATCTCCAAGGCTGAAGAAGACATAGTGCTATGGAAATATCCCACAGTTTAGCCTTCCTGAATGTTTAGGCTACCATGACATGGATAATCCGGTGAGATGCTTAGACTTTTCTCCATGTGGATTAGCAATCCAAGAGGAAACAAAGACTTACATTGAGTTACAGTGCTACCCCTACTGTAGGCACATGTCTTTAGTCTCCTTGGTTGATAATTAGCAAACAGGATAAAACTGTGCACCGATTTTCATTCCAGGTCTATGGCTCATGCAGAAGTTGAAAAAGTCAGGGTCACTTTTGCAACTGACCTTCAGGGACAATGCGGATCTGCGCAAGTGTTTCCTCTATCAGCTCAGCCAAAAAACAGGTGAGTAGGGCTTGATGTGAATGTGCAAATAACATGGGCTATGCCAAAGGATTGTGCTGGATTGCCATGTCCTCCAGAGAGTGAAGGAAATCTGCATTTTTTTTAAAGACTTTTCTTTAATGATTCTTGCATTTAAGAAGGGCTACTCTGTCTAATCTAATCTATTATCGATTTTGTTTGTGCTTTTTTTCTGTGTCAGTTACCAGTGAATATATTTGCCAAACTGTTCACACCAAATAAGAATCACAGAATCACAGAATGGCTTGGGTTGGAAGGGACCTCAAAGGTCATCGAGTTCCAAGCCCCTGCCATGGGCAGGGAAACCCTCCACTACACCAGGCTGCCCAAAGCCTCATCCAATCTGACCCTGAACAACTCCAGGGATGGGGCAGCCGCAACTTCTCTGGGCAACATGCTCCAGTGCCTCACCACTCTCAATGTAAAAAATTTCTTTCCTAGATCCAATCGAAATCTCCCCTCTTTCAGTTTAAGTCCATTGCCCCTTGTCCTGTCGTGCACTGGCAGCCCAGAAAGCCAACTGTATCCTGGGCTGCATCAAAAGAAGCGTGGCCAGCAGGTCGAGGGAGGTGATTCTGCCCCCTCCATACTGTAGTAAAGACCTCCATACTGTAGTAAACCTGCACCTAAGTTTATATTCTGCAAGCAAGAATTATCATTCTTGACAGGCCACTATTGCTTAATTTATGCTACTAGATGAAAATAATTTTTTCCTTTTTTTTTTTAAGTTTAACATCTCTTGTCTCTCAGAAATATGACTCTGTGAGATGAAAAGCAAATTTTATTCATGTCTATTGTGACACCTTTGTACTACAGAGAGATGTATGGCCTCACACTGGAAAAATGATGTCTAAATAGAGATCTTTTACCCCTTCCTTAGTCTGAATAAATGAATAAATGAAATAAATCAGGCTTTTCGTAAGGAAAGAATGCAAGTGTGATCATTCTGTTCAAGCAAATGTTTTCTTTTGAGAGTTATTTTTAATATTGTGTGTGAGCAAACTGATGCTAAGTATATAGTCACAAAGTCACTACTTGATATTTATTTTTTTCCTTATGTGTTGGTACATTACTAATAGGGAACAAAGACCATGGTAAGATAAGTATAACTTATTAATTCTTAGTCTGACAGACATAGAGCTGTTAATAATTTTATGAACACACTATGTGACATAATCAATAATGGGAAGCTGCTGAATCTTGGCATTATTTGAATTTCCTTATTTGAATTTTCCTTTTGATTCCCTGGCTCTCATTTCAATGGAGTACAGTTGACATCTGCTTTACTAGTGTCATGTTTGAGTAGCATTTGGTCTACACAGGAAACTCATGTCATAACTTCCCAGACAAAGAATTCCCTAGCATGTATTATGAATCGAAGTGATTCATTGTTAGCTCGGTAAACTTGAGATCTTATATATAAACTTGAGATCTTTGAGGGCTATAAATAAAGATGATGTCCCTGCAAAAGCAGAAAGCAGAAATTTACATGTGAAGAGGGTTGTCTCTAAGGTCAGAATCATCTAGGTAGCTGCTTAGGTAAAAAATCTGAAGTAGATAGGTACAGATGTGAACATATGACCTGACATACCGAGTCAAAATAGAGGTGCCCTTACTCTAGCACGCTGCTCCCAAAAGTAGCTGAGAGAACCTACAGAGGGAGAAATCAGAAGCAGTGTTGCGTTTACATTCCCAAATAACTCTTTACACCTCCAGTAATTTCTGATTTTCTTCTTAAAGTCTCTTTAAATGTTCCTTGTGCTTGTCTTGAGAGAAAGAAAATAGGGAATTGGATTTTAGATATGGTAACACTCACTGATGTTTCTCCTACCTTTTACCTCAGACTGAAGTCACAAACTTGGTGGATTTGATTGCACAAGAACAAAATGGTAGACAGCTTCAGCCAGGCTTAGTTAATGCAGGCAGCAAGACTCTTCTTTGTGGTGATGATGATCAACTTTTCTATGAAAATCTAGAAATCAAAGGATTCTGGCCCCATTCCCGTAAGGGAGAGGGAATGATGAAGGTCAAATCCACAGCTCTCTACGTTCAGGATACTCTATGGACTAGTAGAGTATATCATCTGTGTCCATTTTCCTACTTTTCTGCTGGATGTGGGTGACAGAGAGCTCAAGAGAGCACAGACTAGGCAAACAGCAGGAGCTGTTTCCTTAGCCAATTAGAGGCCCCATTGACTCCAGGGAAGAGGGAAGATTCCTGGTTTCCAGTCCATGTAGCAGCAGTGTGCATTTATCAAGGGACTGCTGAATGCAGGGACTGGATCCCCAGCCTCCCTCTACACTGATGTAATAGTATGACATCATAGCAGTGAAGCTGGTTCCTCTTCTCTCTCCATTTTCTTTGAAAATTGTACTAATTTGTTATGTTATTTTTGAATGTGATCCCCATTCCTGTGAACACTTATTTGTCCAAAATCACTCATTGAGCTTAGTGGGGCTGTACATGTGTTTCCGATGTTTAAAGGTATAAATATTTGTGAGATTAAGGTTTTAATCAAACATGTTTTTCAGAGACAGTTCTTACTTTTTTGGTTGGCATACAACTAACCTGTATGAGTGCTGATGAGCAGCAAATAGTTCGTAGATGAAGCAGAAAGGATTTAAGCTATTATGAATCTTTCTAAGCTTGTGTTGCATGTTTTAATTATTATCATCTATTTTGCACTGCAGATTTTCAAATGTGTTTGAACATGATGTAGTTATGCTGACACTGTATGTAATTTCATTAATGTGCATCATTATGATAAACATATTTAATGCATTTACCACAGGTCTTCAGTACTTTAAAAATGTTGTGTTGGTGGCCTCTCCCCAAGACAGATATGTGCCCTTTCATTCAGCAAGAATAGAAATGTGCAAAAATGCACTTAAAGACAGACATACAGGTATGTTTAAGATCTTTTCTATATTTACAAAGCTGTTGAGGAATTGTGGTTTTGTGTAACTGAGGTCATTGCCATAGAAGAGTTTTCATCAGCATGATGGAAACTCAAACGTTTATTTGATAAGGAAGAAAGTGTTCTCTTCCCACAGGAAATGAGTGAAATCAATAAAAGAATCTTTTTAGGAAGCACTTTATTTGATGAAAACGAATTACAATCAACAAATAATTAAAGATTTCTTACTGCTTCTTCCCCTTCCCTCTAATTAATTTTTTTAAAAGTGATAGATAGTAATAGAACTAGTTCTTGACAATGTTTTTCTGTAGTCTACTGAATTACCAGCATTGTCTCCACTTTGTTTCACGTAATGAAATCTCTCTCAGCACATCGAAAGTCAGAGGGGTTTCCCTTTCTTTTAAATAATGTTTGGATGATCGCGAGGTAGTTTAAGTGACAGACCTAAAATCATATTTTTTGTAATAAAATCTGTAAAGCATATCAAGATTCATGCCATCAGAGGCCTGGCCCTTCTGTGACCTCAGACTGTGTAACGTCCCAAGTATTGCCTCTGTTACTAGCAGTATCTCTCATTTATAAAATATTTTAAGGCTTCAGTTTGATACCACATCCAGAAATAATGTTCAGTGTAATTTCATACCTGTTTCATGTATGTGATTACCTAGAAATGGAGGTACTTCTTTGAAGCAGAAAGAGACACCCAAGTGTAATAATCAACATGGTTGCCTTCACACATCTTGTCTAAATTACAGTTCTTTCTATTCTACCTCAGATATAAATTAAAAAGTAATATTCTAACTCTTTCTTCCAGTGCATTTTCCTCAGGGAGACATTTGACCTAGCAGGAGTTGGATCCGTGTAGATCATTTATAAGTACAAGTTTCCTGAGCTATTGTTGTTGTCCTATAAACTCCTCAACTATCTGCACGATGTCCTTCATGTATTAGACTCCCCAGAGAAACCCAAATGAACTTCTGTGTCTGGCCAGATCCTTTTGCATTTGGATTCACAGGCAGCATGAGTCCAACCTTCTTCCCCTAAGGAAACAAAATAATTTCCTTCCACCACAGAGAAAATGAGAAGAAATGCTGAGGAGTGTCCCACTCTTCATGCTAGCAGCTTCAGCAGACCTCTTCAGATGGCCAGTGTCTCCATTAGGTTAACAACATCCTGGTGCTTGGCAAATCTTTGAAATGGACTTCTAACTAACTCTTGCATTTTGGTGTTGCTTCCATTTTCTTTCTCGTTGCAACTGTAAATGATACGGGAAGGAGAGAGGGGATCTGGCAGCTTTGACATGTAGGTGTGACATCTAAACTCTTTTTCAGGTCCTGTTTACGCAGAAATGATCAACAACCTGCTCCAGCCTTTGATTGGGGCGAAGGACTGCACTTTGATCAGACACAACGTGTTCCATGCTCTGCCAAACACCGCCAACACATTGATAGGCCGGGCTGCCCACATTGCCGTGCTGGACTCTGAACTTTTCCTCGAGAAGTTTTTCCTCGTGGCAGGACTCAACTACTTCAAATAGTGCCTGAAGAATGGGGTAACGGAGGCAAACCTTTTCATTGAGTGGAGGAGAATCCCTTAGCCGAAAGAATGCAGTGTTAGGAATGAGATCAGGTGGCACTTTCAAACTCTCCATTCCCATTTCTGTTTCAGAGAAGAAAGTGATGTAGCTTTAAGGCATTCAAGCTTCCAAATATTGGTGCTTTTGGAAGAAATAAATATTCCTCTTCAGTTTCTGTGTTCTTTGTCCACATAAAGACATGAGCCATTTCTGAAGTACAGAATCAGAATAAGAAAGTTAATTCTCTAAATGTGATTAGACCAATATGATTCCCATTTCTCCCAAATACTGACCCAGGAACTTGGCTGTCCTTGATTTAATGCTTATTTACATATTAACAAAGCTATATATTTGTAGCACTTTTGGGATAGTTAACACAAGAGGAAACAAGCATATATGAACTCAGGTTAAAACTTGCTTTGTGATGAACTGAGAAGTCTGAAAAACATTTATGAATGTTTCCATTTGTTGAAAGAAAATATTTGAATAGTTCCATTACTGGTAATAATTTGTAGCATACGTGTGTTCAAAAACTGAAAGGTGTGAAATATTTAACATAGAATGAAAAAATCTTGATGCTTATCTTTTTCTTTTTTTTTTAAAAAAAAAAAACACCTTAAAGTTGGGAAGAACTTTTTTTTTCGAGTTAGAAGCTGCCAAACTAAGAGGAGTCTATTGGATTACTTGTAAAATATCAGTGGCATCTGTTAACATTTCTTCTGTTTACTTTTACAGAGGGTCATTTTTATGCTTGTTATAACCTTAGAGGTAAAATTTTTACTTTTACATTTGTACCTAAGTAGATTTACCTCAACAAATTTTTATGTTTTAAAATTTATTACTCTGATATGAAATTCAAAATCTAGCCAGTAATACCCTTAAAAAATGCAATCAAATGAAAACAGGCTGAAGACATAGAGTGTTCAGGATTGTGGAAAGCTTAAAAAATATAAGGATGTTTTCTTAGGCTCCTCTGCAATGCTCTGTTAATGCTTTACTAATGCTCATTCGCAGTGCTATATACAGTCCTAATTATTATATGGTTACAGCTGTTTAAAACATCTAACACTTTATTCATACAAAGATATCCAAGTTGTTTCTAAGGGTTTGGAAAAGAACCTATTTTTCACTTTTTTATTTTTTTTAATTTTCAATTAAATTTTTTATCAACAAGTTATCAGATTTAAAGAGACGAATTTCAATGAATTTCTATACATTTTCATACCATTTTGATAAATTTTCAATGTCACAGCACTTTTTTTCAAAAAAAGAGAAAGTGAATAATTCTTCACAATTATTTTTGTTTGGAAAGCAGGCAATTTTTTAATACAAACATTATTTAAAACCATAAGTGACCACCCCCCTACATCTTGTGACAAAAACTATTAAAAAATTATAAAGGTGGTTTCAGGTGTCAAGACTTTCATCAGTAAATTAAGATTAAGAGAGTGGAGATTTCTGAAATAAGAGAGCCAAAAAATAAAAACAAAAAACCTTGCAACCATAGCGAAATACTTGTACATGTGAAAAGTAAAAGTAGGTTTTTTCAAAAGAATAAAAGTGGAAAACTTATACAGAATTAGTTAAAGAAAAGAGTTACTATCAAACTGGAAAAGGCTGCTAAAGAACAAGGCTGGTTTATTAATGTAGGCATGTTTTTAAAACAGAAAGGAGAAAGAAGGAATTACACAAAAGGATGAGATTAAAATCCCCTGAAAATAGGAATGTATATTGCACCTAAAAATCATCTGCCCCTCAAAGGGGCACAAATTATATAGAAAGAGTCACATGCTGTTTCAATATTGACAAGTTTTTTAAACATTCAATTATTACCTCAGTACTTGAATTAAATAGGAAGTTACTATGTTCTCTTTTTTTTCCTCCGTTATAAATTGACAGTTTAGAGCTAAAAGCTGGATTTTGTCAGGAATCAAGAACTTCTGGTTAACCACTTCTTGTTTGGGAAGTCTTTATCGCTTTTCAGCCTCAACATTTTGGTGCCAGCTACACTTACATATCACAGCTTACTTCTTCCTTGGTAAATAGTTTATGGAATTTTAAATATAATGAGACATGTATGTTAAACTGTTACACAGTGCAGTGGTTTTGAGCCACAGACATGGACTTCTAAGATGTGAAAAACAAGAAAGAAAAGCAATCTCCAACCATCAGTAAGCTTCAGCGTGCTGTATGAGGGTCTGCTTCTCTTTTAGAATATATTCAGGTGTATGCCAACAGGAAATTTTGGAAAATATTGAGAGACAGGTTAGTTTAGACATATATACATGCCTAATGTATGTGTGTGTGTATATATGCATACAGTCTGTAGAAAGAAATATGCTTATTTCAAGGTCTCACACACCAACTTTTTAAATCCTGAGTATACTGAGTCTGACAATGTACCAGTAGCTCTTTTTGCATTCAGATTGGTGATTTCTTGCCTTGTGTTGTACATTGGACAGCATTCCCAGCCTTCTCTTTGCACGGTTGTGAGAGAAGGGAAACGTGAAAAGGTCTCTTGTATTGCTGCAGAAGTTGGTGGACCTTTCGGTATGTTCGTTTTCACATTCTATTCTGCTACCAGCACTCTGACAGATGGATAAACATAGCTAGAAGTTTCCATGTTCCTATACAGGTAATGTTCTTCCATGGCTCAGAGTCTGATTTCAGAATTGGAGTTGGATTGCACATGGAGTTGGATTAGGTCCATACGACTTGCTCCTTGTGAGGTATGGCAGAGAACTTCTATGGAGCCTCAGAAAAATCTGGGAGATGTCATTCCTGTGAAATGATAAGACACAGATTTTATCTTCCTTATGCTGGCAGAACATTATGGGAAATACTGGCAGTAACAGTCTAGCAGAGCATTCATTTTAAGGTTCTCAGAATAGTCTTCCCCTCTTTCTCTTCTTTTATTCTTTCTAATGGGATATTGCCTTGATAATGACTCTCAAGTCATTATTATCAAGTCATTATTTTCTCTCTCTTTGAAAGCCAACGAAATCCTGGAATCCTGGCATGTATCAGAAACAGTGTGGCCAGCAGGAGCAGAGAAGTGATTGTCCCCCTATACTCAGCACTGGTGAGGCCGCACCTGGAGTACTGTGGCAAGTTTTGGGCCCCTCACTTCAAGAAGGACGTTGAGGTGCTGGAGTGGGTTCAGAGAAGGGCAACAAAACTAGTGAAGGGTTTAGGGAACTTGTCCTATGAGCAGCGGCTGAGGGAGCTGGGACTGGTCAGTCTGGAGAAGAGGAGGCTCAGGGGGGACCTTATCGCTCTCTACAATTACCTGAAAGGAAGTCGTAGGGAGATGGGGGTCGGTCTCTTCTCCCATGTTGTGAATGACAGGACGAGAGGGAATGACCTCAAGTTGCGCCAGGGGAAATTTAGGTTAGATATCAGGAAGAATTTCTTTCCAGAGAGGGTTGTGAAGTATTGGAACAGGCTGCCCAGGGAGGTGGTGGAGTCCCCATCCCTGGAGGTGTTTAAAAACGATGTAGATTTGGTGTTGAGCAATATGGTTTAGTGACCCTGACAGTGCAGGGCAAATGGTTGAACTCGATGATCTTGAAGATCTGTTCCAAACAGACGATTCTATGATTCTATGATTCAATATTGTCATTCCACTCTAATGATGTGCACTATATTGCAAAGAAATATTCATCTTCATTATAATATAGATAACACCTAAGTGGTTGGACTTCATCAAACTATAGGAATAACATGGACTTATTTTCAGACTTTTTTTTATTTATATATGAGAATTATATATTAAGAGTTATCTTCATAACAAATAGCAAAATAACCGCACAGTTAGCATCTTTGTTTCTGTCTTGACCTTTGGAATTTTAATATATTGTCCTTTCACATAAAGCCTTTTAAAATGCATATAAGTACATTAGTGGTATTGCTGCAAGGATTTGCCTTCAAACTGCACAAGCTCCACTTGGCTTGATATATCTATAGAGGCAGTGCTTAAATTCTTAAATGAAGCTCTCACACACAGAGGATAAGGCGGTTTTTCAAGAACTTGGACAGAGGAGGGACAACCATGAAATTTTTGTAGCTTGTCAGCTTAATATGCGTTGTGTTTGAAATGAAACTCCCTTCATTTCTGTGGGATTCTTTAGCTTAAAATAAACAAAGCCAGCAATACAGGGATTGTCTTACAGCCAGCATGCAGGATCTCCTGGCTCCAACAGGTAAAGTGCATTTGGCTATTGAGGTTTTCCAATGTTAAAGATGAAGTATGAGCTACGTCCCAGATGAATAAGTTCTCTGAAGGAAAGGTGATAGCCTACATGTAGGAGAAGAGCAACAAAGACAGAGGATCTCAGAGCTTTGAAAGACAGGGACAAAGACTGAGGGAAGGAAGGAAGACAGGAAGGTGCACCAGCAAGGGTGAATTTCATAGAATCATAGAATGGCTTGGGTTGGAAGGGACCTCAAAGATCATCTAATCCAAACCCCCTGCCATGGTTAACTATTAGGTTGATCAAAGCCCCATCCAACTTGACCTCGAGCACTTTCAATGATGAGACATCAACAACTTCTCTGGGTAACCTGTTCCACTGTCTCACTATCCTCCTTGTAAAAATATTCCTTATAAAGAATTGAAAAACTCAACACAGAGTAGTATCATCTCACTTAACTTTAGGCAATTGTGGTGTAGATGTCTATTTTTGGTCTAATAGGGGGAGTTTAACTCCTTTTATGATCAGTGGAAGGAAAGATGCACTTTTAGGGTGTGATTTATCAGACATATTTTACTTTTCTGGTCTAATTTCCTCTAGACTTGTTCTTTTCCACTGACTATGCAGGATATTAGATTTAGCTGTTTACTTACGTGACACCTACACCTGATCACATGAATCCCACACAGTGCTGGAACTCTTATGGGACTCTTTCCTCGCCCTAAAGGCCAAAAGAAGGGATATTGTGCTTTGAAATAGCACCTGGCC